GGTTATCTGGATTTCTAATACATTTTGACAAAATCTTATCTAATATCTTGCTATCTATATATCTACGGTTTCTATCTTCGAACCCTCTGATATGTTGAATTAAGTCTGTGTCCAATAGCAATCCTATTCTTGTTTGTACTTCCATTTCCATTTTATAGATTTTAAGGGTAAGGTGTAATATTTTAAAATTATATATAAACTTAATGGTATATTTTTTTTTATAATTTCAATTATGAAAATTTTTACTAATTAAATATTTTTTGAGCTTCTAAGTAAAGTTTTAGAGTAGATTTTTGTAATTTTAACAGTAATAAAATCATCAAAATTGGCATAAAACTCATTGATATATGAATTATTAAAGACTAAATATAAAAATTTACTATTAGAATTCTTTTATAGTTTTTCGAAAATTAGCCAATTAAAGCCAACTTTTTGTGTAACCTCGAAAAAACATAGAGCTCCTCGGAAGAATTCAAAATATATACAAATAGAGTTTTTTTAAAGTAAACTTCTTATAAAATTTTAATATAATAAATAATTTATTTAAGCCTATATATTATTAAATTTTGATAAAAATTAATTAAAAAATAAAAATGTTTTATTAGTAACACATTTTTAATTTACTATATAGACCTGTGGGTCAATAGTGAAGTAGTTATACTCTCAGGTTGTCAATCGCAAGGTTGCTGGTTTAAGTCCAACAGAGGATGAAAACTGAGTTAGAACCACGATTGTTGATTAATCACATCTAATGGCACTCTACAAAAATAGAAAGATCTTCAGTATCCAGATCCTTAAATGGTAATAGACATGATATAAGAAGGCTGCGATGATTAGAAGGCTAAGGATAATAATAGAACAAAGGAATCCCTGATTAAGATAATCTCAGTAAAATTCCAGAGTAATAGAAATACAAAATTAATAGATAAATAGTACTGTAAAATGTATAAATAAATGTAAATATAGGCAAGGTTCTGATAAAAGGTCCCATAAACTTGAAAATTTAAACTAATAAAACAGTTGCCAACTGCAACCCACTAGTGACCAGGCAGTAGGAATTCAAAAAAAAAATTTTACTATATAAAAATCTATTATACCATCTAGATCATATAAAAAATGATCTACATACACTCTACCTTTAATTTAAATAATGATAATAATGATAAAACTAAATATAGTAGTGACAAAAAAATAAAACTATATATTATTTTTTTTATTCAATAACTCTTTTCTCAAAACAAATTTTTAAATATAAAGAGGTTCTAACTGTTTTTTCAAGAAGACAATTTCTAGTAACATTTATAGTATGTTTTGCAATAAAAAAAATGTAAACATACTTATAGAGTACACTTATAACTTGTAAAGCAAAATAATTTGTTGCAAGACAGATTATAGTTAAAGAATGTTGAGTATTTGTTTTTTATTAGCATAGTAAATTTATATTTGATTTATAAGATAAAGCAAAACTTATTTTTTGTATCTGTTGCAATTTTTTTAATTATATTTATTTGATTATACTTTGTTTATGAAATATATTCTTAAGAATATATTTTATAAACATTATTATAAAAATTTTTTTTAAAATATTAATAAACTTTTAAGTATTAAAATTTTAAAGATTCTATTTAAAATTTTTTATTATTAAAATTTTTTTAAGATTTTTTAAAATTTCATATATTTTCAAAACTAAAAAAAAATTTATACTTTAAACAAGTTTAAATTTCTATAAATAAATTACAAAAGAGTTACTAATTAAAATTGTTATTCTTTATATAAACTAAAATATTGTATTAAGAATTATAAGCTTAAAATTAATATTTAAAGAGTTTATTAAAAATTTGTAAATAATTTTTTTGATTAAAAATTTTTTCTAAATTTGTTTATTTTTAGTTTATAACTAATATATATATTTTTTCTTATAATATAAAATTAAATACTACTATAATATAAGGGTAAATCTATATATCACACCCCTGTGTAATGCTTAAATCTCGCATCGGGGGTGCGATATACTTAAATTTCACTACTTATAAAGGATCACTAAGTTACAACAGAATAGTTAAAGTTTTGGCTAAAGATAAAAAAGCTAATAAAGAGTGATCAATTACTATTACTGATAGCCAAGGTTTAATTAGTAAAGAAGAAAAAGACCACATGATTTGCGAAGTTACTTCAAAAATTTAAATTTTTACTTGGCCAAAATCTGTAAAATCAAACACGTCTCAATGCAATAAACATAAAAAATACAAGCACTGAAAATGTGGATTTGCAACAACTCTAGCATGCAAAATAACTTTATTTAGACAAATAATGTGATCTCAACATTTACCGTTCTGTCCCACCTCCGTTAGTTATTACCTGTACTCTTATGAAAAGCAGCATTGTGTCCTATTTGTTGCATACATGACATTTGTAAGAACCTCTAGTTTTGGGTTTTCCATGAAGACCTTGTTCTTTTTTAACACTACTCAAATATCATCGTTTGTGTGGTCAATCTCTACCAGTAACTTTGTTCAAATTTTTTACGTTATTGAGATTAGTGATCTCATTTTCTTGTTCTATTTCCTCTTCTATTTCCTCCTTTATTTTATTACTTTCTGAATTAGTATTAATGTTATACTCATTTATTTCATGGACATTATCGGGTATTTCATCGTTTATAGCAGCTAGGGGTTTTTCATGAATTACAGGTCTTTCGTCAATTGCAGGGCTTTCATCAATTGCAGGCCTTCTTGCATATATTCATTTGATTTTCTTCTAATATAGTCTTAAAGAAGGTAGTAATTTCATTATCGTCTTGCTCAACTGCAAGTAAAGTTGCTGTTTGCGCTAATTTCCAAACATGACCATATAAATTTCTCTTATAAACAGCCTTTTTAATCGTAGGAACAGTTGCTGAGATTGTGGCTAGCTTTCGTGTTAGTAAGATACTTTTATTCATAGGTTCGTTATTTTTTTCACAACTGTATACTATACTCTCTTGTAGATTTAACACATCTTGGTGAATGTCTTTGTACCATCATGGAGGTATCATGCTAATATGAAATGCGGCAGTTTTTAAATTCATAATAATGCAAAAATAGTGAAGACATATAATCCCTCTGGATATAGATTTGAGACAAGAACACAGGAAAAAAATAGTATTAATGACAATAATGTAATGTACATGATTTTTTTCACTTTGTATGTCTACAACTTTTCATATTTCTGATACTTCCTCTTGTCCTACTTCTTCTATTATAGCCTGGAGAGTCATAAAACATGCATCATTTTGATTTTCAATGAATCTTTCTAATGTCATCTAGAGATTTTCCTTTACAACAACAAGATTTTAGTATGTTATATATGCTGTAAATAGAAATGGAACTAAAATTGATTTGAAATCATAGTAACTATATTGTAAGTAGGAATAGAACTAAAGTTAATTTTGAATTCACTTAAATTGGAACATAATTACTATATCCGAAATCTAATCCTTACCCTAACTCTAACCAAATCAACTTAAATTCCATTCCTATTTACTAAAGTCTAAACCCACACTAATCTTTGATGACTTAAATTTCACTCCCATTTATCGCATATGCATTATATCTGCTCACGATTCAATTCTTCATAATTGGGCTCAATCAAATTTGCATTAACAAATAAGCATTGAGATATTTCTTCTCTAATCATATTTTTAATGGGTTCAGTAAGATACTTATCAAGAACTTTTGTTATTGCTGAAAACAAATCTTGTCCAACTGTGTAAGTAGTATTCAATGTAGTGGCTTGCTTATATTCATAAAACTGATTCTATCTCCCTTCTTCTATTAATCTCGAATCGAGATAATCTGCAAGCTCGCATAGGGTACTATTAGTCTTTAGTTGTTGTTTTATGATTCAATTATAGCCTTCAACTCTCGAGGTGGTTTTGATACTAGCTGTGAAGATTTTATGAAGATAAGCCCGAGCCTATAATTTACACTTTTGATCCAAAGTATGTAAAAGGTAATCCTTTGTCATTGGAAAATCAGTGAGTAATTGGTTCCATTTTTGCTTAAATAGTGGTTCACATAAGCTGTTATGGCAGTGATAGAACTGTTGGATAAAATTTTCACATTTTTTACCCAATTTGGCTTTCAGATTTTTAGGTAAGTTTTGTGATATATGGAATATACAGTGGGCTAGATATGTTTCAGAAAAAATGATAGGAATGGCAGCATCAAGTGCAGGGTCTGCATTGGTAAACATAATAATTGGGGCTTGGTTAGTGGCTCTTTTGATACACTCAAGTATCCAGATATGTGTATCAAGAGATTCATCACTCACTAACACCTAACAAACAAGACGAGTTTTGCATTTGTTATCAACTATTATAAAAACCCCCCAATAGCATCTGATACTGATTTGTATGAGATGTATTGTTATTGACGATAACATCATAATATTTGAGCCACAGGTCAACCTGGTTGGGAAACATCCACAGAAGGCAAGTTAACCAATTATCTTGGTCTAATTCGAAAGCAATGACCTAATATAAGTCTTTAACTTTTTTTTGCATTAATGAAGTAAGCAGCGCAGATTCATTATTGTTAATCTTGTCAGATTTTTTATATTTTTGAATCGCATTTGCCAAATCCTGGTCTTGGAAATGCAGATCCAGGAATTATGCTTTTAAGGACTTCTTTGTACTGTAAGTAATAAATTCTCATGTTTTATTATTAACGAAATTTCATGAAGTGTTTCATCAGTAAATGATCAATACTTTGTTGCAAATTCTTGGGTTTTAGAGGACAGCGCATAGTTATGTTGATTGATAAATGTTTTAACAATTATTTTTGTTTCATGTTTGGGAAATGATAAGTTTACATGCCATGGGCAACTTAATTTTTTTGTTTTGGTGTTCTGTTGTGTCCTTTTTAACACTGATTTCAATTTTTTTTTAGATTTATATTTACCACCAAATTCACAGATGATGGTCCTTTTGTGAATTTGGCTTTTGCTATTTCTCTCCATTCTATATTTAACAGTTACAAATCTATTTCTGGCACCATATTTGTCGAAATAGCTCTCTACTTCTTCCTATGTTTCAAACCTAATATCCTTGGAAATGTCTTCAGATGCAACTATAAGTACGCATGTTAGAATATTATAATACATATATTAATGATTCAAATACTTACTAAAATCATTGCTATTTTTTCTCTCTATGTTAATAGGTTCAATATCCATCATTTGTTCATCATTATCAACATTATTAGAACCACTTTCGATCAAATTTATATTCATGAAGGCTTAAAAGTTACAAGGCTGAAATGGGTAAGCTGATAATATTATAATAGAAGGTATGATAAATGTTAATGAAAGTCTGTATTGCATACCAATTTGGTTTGTATAGGCCATATTTTTTGAGATTATGATTTTAGTGCACTTGTTTAAAAACCCAAAATGTAACATGATAGACAAGTTAAACTAAGGTGTTTAATAAAGATTTGAATGTTGATTTTAAGGCAATATTGATTGGCAAAACAACTTTGAGAAAAAAATTTTTTTTTCGATCTGTTTACATCATTGTGAATTATTTTAATGCAATACAGCATAATTTTATTTCATCTTAGGAAATGCGATGCATTTACATCTCGTTTTGCATAAAAATTATGCATTAGACTCTCACAGCCAATTAAATCAGGATTTATACTTTCATGTGAGATTTAATGGCTTCGCACTATGCGAGATGCACATTTATCCATAATATTATCCTTATTTTCAAATATTATTAAATTTTTTTTTTTTTTTTGAACTTTGGTGACAATGCCAGTTGGTTTTTATTAGCTTTTTAATTTTGATATAGTACAAATTTTATAGTTACATTTTAGGATCAATTATTACTAGTACTATATACTATCTAATTTAACACCACTGACTTTACCCAGTTACTCATTATGGCACCTAAGTGCATGTCTGCCGCATGCCTGCACGCAGTTACCTTGGCAACCACTTGTGGTCATAGCATATATTAAATCGCTATACAGACAAGAATATTTACTGAACTTAATGTGGCATCCCAAATGTCAGGGGTACTGTCTTCTGTAAATCATACCCATATGTCTCCTCACATGTTTTATCTGGTCTTGTTTCTTCTGCCTCCTAATCTAACTATATCTAGTATTACCTTGTTCCCTATATTTTCCACCTTTTCATCACTGTATTACTCCTAAATTGGTCCTACTCGGGTATGTCTAATCCTTATGATCTTTCCATCTTTGGTTTGCCTGTTATTAATTCCCCTAAGGTGTTTCGACAATGGTCCAGGATCTACAATGAACCTGTATCTCAAGCCAGATTTGCTACCGCCATTGGTCTTTTAACTAATCTGTATCTCAAGCCAAACCTGCTGCTGCCGTTTCTGCAGATGCCTCAGGTCTTAACATCATATAGTAACTCGATGCTGAATTTAATCTCCAACATAGTGCTTCCTTTTATGATAGAGACTGGGACTTGTTGTACTTACAAACAGGACAATTCTGGTTATATCTAGGAAGTTCCTCCACTCTAGTAATACCATACTACCATGTATTGCAAGCTCCCAGCTTATTTGACAATACCTGCAGAACAATTCTGGTTATGCCCAGAGA